AGTATTCCATGGTATAGATAAACCACATCTTCTTGATCCATTCGTCCGTTGATGGACACTTAGGCTCTTTCCATGTTTTAGCTATTGTGGAGAGTGCTGCTATGAACATTGGGGTACACGTGCTCCTATGCATCAGCATTTCTGTATCCCTTGGGTAAATTCCTAGCAGTGCTATTGCTGGGTCATAGGGGAGTTCTAGTGTTAGTTTCCTGAGGAACCTCCACACTGTTTTCCAGAGGGGCTGTACCAGTTTACATTCCCACCAACAGTGTAGGAGGGTGCCCCTTTCTCCACATCCTCGTCAGCATCTAGAGTTCTCTGATTTGCTCATTTTAGCCACTCTGACGGGCGTGAGGTGGTATCTCAGTGTGGTTTTGATTTGTATTTCCCTGATGAGGAGGGATGCTGAGCATTGTTTCATGTGTCTGTTGGCCATCTGGATGTCCTCTTTGAGTTTTCCTGATGTCTTGAACTCCTTCATACTCCTAATTTTTTCCTTAAGTATATGAAGAGCCATGGGAACACTGTAAACATGCTGGACATCTAGGTGACATTTATGAAACGTGGGAATCCTAGCCTTTTTCTCCCCACCCATAAAGGAGACAAAAGGTCATGAACACAAATTAAAAATTTTCCAAACTCAGAAAGCAATTTTTTTCTATTTTCTAATTAGAGTGAATGCGTACTTGTAATATGAAAAAATGGAAACAAAAATGGGCTCCATTGAATCCATGTGTTTGCCCCTCTGTCTTTTTTGTGCTTTCTCTAAGAAAACAAATTCATATTTTTCTATATCTTGGATCTAATAAAAACAAACAGGCAAACACAACAAATCATGGAGGAAAGATGATTTGAAGGAGTCAGAGAAGCCACATCTCTGTATTTACACTCCGCCATACATTTACTCACTTCCGTCCTACTCTACAGAAAGCATCATTTACCCAGATGACTTAAAAAATGTTGGCAGGGTGTGCGAGCTGGGTGGAAAAGAGGTGCCGGGAAATTCACTGTGAAAGAAAGCAGAGCTTTGGGAAAGGAATTTCCCTGGTCAGCTGCCTTGGGGATCTGAACAAAAATGCAGAGCAACCAAGGATTGCCCACACTCAAGGCCACCACGGCAAGAACAGGGCAAACGTGCTATGATGTGACACCGTTCTCCGGTGTCCTGTCTCTCTGACTGACTCACTGAGTTCAGCAAACCATCTTTGGGAACCTACTGAACTAATACTACAGAAGCATTACATCCGGCACTGGCGCTGTGTGGATATAATGATGAATGAGATTTCACTCCTACTTTCAGGCTTGAAGAAGATACAGGAATTACCATTTGAGTACTTTTTTTTTTTTTTTTTTGGTCTCCTGTATTCACTCCATTCATATTTAATAAGCACTGATTATATATAAAACGCTGTGCTGGACCTGAAGAGGATGCATGTGTGTCTAAGGAATGGCTCCTGCCTCAGAGGGATGACTAAAAGGCTGTATTACAAAGCATTATGGGTTTGCGCTCACAAATAGTGCTATCAGTTCAGAAGAAGGCTTCAAGGCGGAGGTGGTATTTCCAGCAAATACATGGCAACAGGGAAAGGAAGGAGGGAACAGAGTAGACAAAGGCACTTAGGGATGCAAATATGGGCATGAGTGTGGTGGGGGAATTAGGAGGCAACGGAATAAATCGGACAACTTTTCTTAGAATTGCTACTTGGGTGGAGTAATTAATTATTTGCTTATTATTCATGAGGGCTCAGCTGAGAAGAAGGTTTGTAAGTCAAGGAGACAGAAAGCCAGGTAATCTGTGGCTGAGTGAGAAGAAGGTGGGAACGACCTTGTGTAGACTGAGGTGCTTGGGGCTTGTAGGCTAGACAGCGGGGGTCTGTGGGAATCCTTCTCAGGGACGGGTGCTGAGGAGCAGTGAGCAACAAGGCTGTGGGGACAGCAGAGATTGGATGGAAGGGACAAGGGAGACAACACACCCTTCCTTCTTTACAGCTGTTTTTCAGGCCGGTCTATGTGTGGTATGAGGGGATCCTTGAGACAGGTGCTCATCAGCTGTTGGAAAGGACTGGGATTAACATGGCCAGGGAACTGTTTCTTAAGTTTTGGTTGAGATTCTTAAAAGTGACGTACCCTTGGATGGGAGGGAGATTCATCCTTGACGGGAAGTGTGAGTGGTGTGTGTGCATGTATATACATGTATGTATGTATATGTGTATATGTACGTATGTATATATATACATTTGTGTGTATGTGTGTGTGTGCATGTGTGTATGTTTAGAATAATAGGAAAGGATTTAAAATGTTAGGGCTAGGTGTGTCATTGACCTACAGTATGGTTTATTTTATCTTGACTGTCACACTAAAGAAAAGTCTATTTAAGAGAATGGTTTAGCAAGATTGTCCAGAGAAATGAGGCTCTTATTTAATAGTAAAGATATGAAGTGCATTTAGCATAGTTGATAGTATAAAAGTTAGCATTCAAATGTTGTAATGATGTAGAACAGTGCCTAGCAGGTCTGGACTGTAGTAGGGAGTTTAGCTTTGTGTGTTTTATGGCTTCTCAACTTGTGACATGTCCCCATGGGGACTGTATGAGAAAACTGTTTAGATTATTCCAAATCTATGTGTTGCACAGAGCAAACAACTTAAATCACTTATCTTAAGCATGATGGATCAAGAACATCTAGTTCAAAACATGACTCCCAATGCTCTCCCCATCTTTAGCCAAAGTTGAATTTTATTTTAAATAAATATTTAAAACCTTTTTAAGCTCTTAAATTTAGATGGAACGCCCCACCCCCCCCAAAAAAAACCCCACAAATGGACTCACAAAACAGAGACTCTGTTGCCTGCTGTCCCTGGGGTTGAATGTCTATGCAGGCGACAAAAGCCAATTTATGGAAACTACTCTTTCCTTGTCATACCCCTACGAGTTAAGGGTCCTGGGTTTGTTCCTAGTCTATCTTGTGAAATAGAAGGAATGCTGTACAATGAGACCATCAGGAAAAATCACAATGAAAGGCAGAAGAAATGCTTCTATCCAAATGCTCTTCCATCTAGCAACTGGAATAAAAATCCTGAAAATAAAGCGTCATTTATGTTCTAAGGACGACTCTTTTTGTTACATACAGATCATGTGCTTCAGGCTTAAAATTCAAATTTCCTTTTCTGTAGGAAAAATAAAAAAGTAACAGTGTCCCTTCTCCCTTCTAATCTCCCCTACAACCTTGCCTGGAGGATCAACTTTCCTTTCAAAGGCTAGAGTAATTTGTTGAGGGGAGTGAGTGTGGGGAACAGCAGGGGCCTGGGATACAGCCTCAGGGACTGAGCCTTCACACACCCACTTCTTCAAAACTGAGGTGTCTGCAGGCAAGGAGCTGAGAGCACAGCATCTCTGACAAGTTCCCTGGGGCCCCCTGGTATAGGCCTGTGACTTGCATTCAGGTGGGGTCCTCTCCTACCTCGGGGACTAGACCTGGCGCCACCTCCATCCCAGGGTGGCATCCCCATTAGCTGCCCCTCCCGCCAGCTCACCTGGCCAAGAGCAGGGCCAGCCAAGTGTGTAGCTGCCTCTGGGCCCATCTTGTTAATGGCCAGACATGTTTAGGCTCCTTTGTGCTTTAGTTACCAAGGCCAGGCTGGTAAACTGAAAGCCCAGCGGATGGGCTCCTTCTCTGTCCCTTCCTGCCCCCTCACCCCCCCGCTCCAGTTTCGGATGACATCCTGTCACACCGTTGTGTGTCAGGGAAGAGGGGTCATGGTTCAATACTTTCAGAAGTTGCCTGGGAACTGAATTCTAAGAAACGACGACAAAGGTCAGAAAGTGCATTTGTACAGTTCTCTCCGTGCAAGGGGCCAATGGGAAGTCTAACACATTTGTGTACTGGCTGCCGTGGTCTGGGCCTGACACTCCGGCCCTTTGATCCTGCCCTTCCTAGATAAACCGTCTGGGGGCTTATGCTCTTTTGGCTAAATATTCAAAATAATTACAATTTTGTAGAGAAAACATAAAATACTGGTTTTCCAAGTGTGGGTTGGCTCTGATCACGAGGTTGAAGATGTGACAATTTTTTTCCCTGGAATCCCAAACTCCATTAGGGCAAGTTAAGAACATCCTTCCAAATACGTTCATGTTCCCCTCCACCTGGTCACACTTTCTGTGGCATCCCTGTTAGCACAGAGCCAGGTTGTGGAACCTGGGGTGCTGAGAGGCCTAGTGTATGCAGAGGACCCCGGGAGGCAAAGGGCTGTGACCCTGACAGAAGAGGGTAAGGAACAGATATATATTTGCGAGGGCCTTCTACCTTCCGGGTTATCTCTTTGCTCAAGTTCAGATTTGGAGACTATTAGTGTGGTAATAACCCATTTTCATAAAATGGGCCAGACTCTGCTATTTCTCTACCCAGTTAAGCTCGCTGTGCCTGCACAAATACCTTTTGTTTTCACTGAACTGGCTCTCTGTTGCTAAGGCAAAAACAGAGGAACTATACCTCCAAAATCTCCCTTCACCTAACAGTCAATTCAGTAGGTATTCAAGAGTGTTACCAAACACATATGCTTCCTGTCCGACTGTATTCACACAAATCAGCTTAGCCTCTTGGTCCCTACGTCTCTAGGGTCAGTCAAAAGAGAGAAAAAGTGCATCTGGTGCCCAGCCATGTCATCTCTGTGGGTACAACCAGGAGACTGCTCTCACACCTGGGAAGTGGGGAAGGCAGGTACCGGTTGCTAACTCCAAGTATCTATTTGCAAATTGAGTACCCAGCTTTGCACTAAAGATGGTCTTAGAACATACCAAGAATCACTAATAGTAAATAATCAAAAGCAAATTTGGTAGCTCAGGAATTGGATTTCTGTATCATTATTATTTTAAATGATTACTGTATTATCAACAATAATAGCAGCTACCCCTTGCTGAGTACATACGATGGGCCAAGCACTGTGCTGAGTGTGTTTCATGTCTTATCTAGTAAAGTCCTCACAAGAAGCCACAAGACCAGGTCTATGATCTCTGTTTTGCGAATAAGGCGGCTGAGTTGTGAACAGGGAACTTTGTTTGGCATTACTCAGTGAGGGTCAGAGCCAGGCTGAGATGTAGGTGTGTCGGCCCTGAGCCCATGTCCTTAACCACTCACTGCATCTTGCCTCCCTGTCCCTGCTGTTCTGTGGGGGTAGATGGCATCTTCCCTGGACTGATAAACACCACCACCCTGGGGTAAAGGGTCCTGTCTAACCTTACATCTTGGCTTAGGCCTTCCCTGGAGGTTGGGTGGAAAGGGGGAAATGATGAAGTGTCTGAACTGAAAAAAAGCAAAAAGGTACAACATAAGAATAACAACAAAAAGCAAAAAAAAAAAAAAAAAGCAAAAAGGTACAACATAAGAATAAACAGAAAGGGGAATGATTCTAGGCGAGGGGTCAGAAATAAACTACTTGGGTGGTGATGATACCAAGAGACCTTTGTTTCACTTTCCCTCTGTTATTTTGCAAGACAACCAATAAAAATGGAACTGAAAAGTATTACAGTTTCTTACTGAGTATAACTAGTTTAACAGGAACATAGTCTATTTTTTACATAGAAACCAAGCTGAATCTTTTTAAACATAGATCTCGTCTAAAAACCCACCACAGATAAAGTCAGATTCAAAGCCCAGCCCTGGCCAGCGTGGCTTGGCACAGTCTGGCTCTGGCTAACCTTCTGATGTCTTCAAACTTCCCTCTGTCTCAGCTTGTGCCATCCTTGCTGGCCTCCTGCTTTCCTCAAGCAGATTAGCCTCAGGGCCTTTGCACTTGCAACTTCCTCTGCCTGAACAGTTTTCCCCCTAGATATTCATGTGGCTTTTCTCACTTCACTTATGTCTCTGTTATAACACACTACACCAGCAAGGCCCACTGTGACCTCCTCATCTAAATCACCAAGCTCCCTACACCCCCCCCCCACACTCATACTTATCCACACTTTCACATACTCTCTCACATACATTTACACATTCACACACTTGTGCACATCCAAACACCCACTTTCATACATTCTTACATGCCCATTACTCACCCACTCACCCTCTTGCACACACACTTGCACACACCTCCCACACACTCATGCATATTCACACTTGCACCTATGCTTTCACACACTCACCCTCAGACACTCTCATGCACATGTATGTACTCATACACAGCATGGACACTTTTTATCCTCTTTCTGGCTTTTACTTTTCTTAATAACCTGTATTACCAGCTGACATTTATTTTTAAATTTTTTAGTGTCTGTCTTCCCGCATAGGAAATGAAGCCCACGAGTCTAGAGTCTTTACCTTTTTTTGGTAATCATTGCTATATCTCCAGTGCCTTCAATAGTATCAAACACATAGAAAAGGTTTAATTAATATTTTTGAATACATTTACACCATCAAAACAAATCACTTCCATTTCTACCACTGCATGCAATTTAGTATACTCTCATCAGAAAATCCATGGAGGGAAAAGTCAGAAAGGCATAAGGCTGCACCTTCTAATATAGAACAGCTGTATGGATCCTGGGCTCTTTAAACCGTGATGAATGCCATCTGTCCAGTGGCATGAAAAAGTCTCTAGTTCAGGTGAACGGCACTTGGTGAACTTAGGCTTCCCAGGAGAATCTGCAGAGTAAACAGAAAAGGCAAAGCATGCAATCAGGAGGGTAGTGTCTTGTCCTGATAAAACACATATTTAAAGTGGTAAAGAAGAACCACTTCTAGAAATAGTCTTTTCCTGGGTCACAGTTTCAGAGCTTGTTGCCTGACAGTTATTTCTCTGTCAGCTCCTGATTCGAGGAGCAAACAGTTTTGTCTTTATTTCACCCATTATATTTTCTTTATTTTTTAAAAACTGTTTTATTTATTTCTGAGAGAGAGAGAGAGAAACAGCGTGAGCAGGGGAGGGTCAGAGAGAGATGGAGATACAGAATCCGAAACAGGCTCCACGCTCTGAGCTAGCTGTCAGCACAGAGCCCTGACGCGGGGCTCAAACCCACGACCGTGAGATCATGACCTGAGCCGAAGTCGTACGCTTAACCGACTGAGCCACCCAGGCACCCCATTTCATACATCATTTTTAGGGCCCATTTAAGAAGCCAGAGCTAGAGATAAGGTTTATTTGGAAGGTGACCCAGGACAGGACATGAGGGCAAGGAGGGGTGGTAAGCGCAGGGTTACTACAGTAGCCAGCTAGGGCCCAGCTCCACAGTGGACCCTCTGAGAAGCTGTAGGGTGTGTCCTGGAGGCTGGGATGCTGGGCTGTTTATCCACCAACCTCCCCCATCCACTGCTTGAAGGCTACCCTGGAGGCGTTCATGCATCTGCACATGGGCTGAAGATCCTGCCTGACTTGTGAGAAGCCTGGGCGGGCACTGAAGTGTCCTGGCAACGTGCATGACAGTGACTGTCCACCATAGCTGCACGAACTGACATCAGGTGGGACAAAAGAGTGTGGTGTGGGACCACAGCATCCACTACAGGGCCTTTCCTCTTTTTATGGATTGTTTGATAAAAAGCCGCTTAGGTTTGCATTCTTTTGTAAGTTTCAGCCGGTACATGCATTAAATAGATGATGACTAAAAAATTCATGCATACTTATGTGTCAGTTCTAGTTTGGGAAGTGGTGATTGCCCCCAAGTGTTAGGATATTAGCCCAAACTCCTCTGCATCTATGAAATCTGCAGCAGACATGCCTGAGGCACAAACGATGTTTGTATATCAATTTTCATTGTTCTCTGACTTCCATGGCCATTTTGGAGATGGTCAAGTTTCTTTTTTTTTTCCTCTCCTCATATGATTCTACTTCAATTAGACTGTAAACTTAAAATATTTGTTCTCTGATCTAAAGCTCTCATCCCTGGGCAATAGGGAGGCTCTCAATTTTAAAGTATCTTTATAAACACTTTAAAACATACTTTAAAAATAAATAGCATGCAACCAAGCACATAAAATTTCCTGATTCCAAGTTCCAGGTTCATATATGGTGTTCTGAACCAAAACATGCCTCCTTTTTTTCCTTTGTCAACATCATAATGAATGGGATGTTATAAACCTTCTAAAAAAATCCATCATTCAACCATCCACTCAAACAAACACTCACTAAACATCTACTTTGTGCCAGCTTCTCTTCCAAAAGTAGAGTACGAAACAAAATTGCTAACATTCTGGTCCTTAGGGAGGACCAGGGGGCTGGAGGAGGGGAGAATCCCATGCCAAAAAAAAAAAAAAAAAAGAGCAGGGTAAGGAGATAAGGGGCTGGGAAATGGAAGCCCCATCATTCTTCCACTAATACTCATGAATCCAGCAAAGCTCAGGCTGGGGAAATGTACCCTTGTTTTTGAACACCTGCTGCCCCAAATAGTCTGGCCACAAGCAAATGAATCTTCAGGAAATCCTGAGTTGCAGACAGGTCCTTTGCCCTGAGAACACATGGTAGGAGTGGCAGAATGTCTTTCTTAGTAAAATTCCATGGTCATACTGTTGTAAGAAATATTCCTCTTCCTGTATTACCTAAGGGATTCCGAAGAATTTTGGAGCATGGGGATAGGATCTGCTTGGTACCAAGGATAGATGGTCAGCCCTCTCTAGGTGGTCAGCATTTCTGAACTTCCCTGAGAGCACTGAAGTGTAGGAGCCTGTGTGATCTGCTACAAATGAATATTGTGAAAAAGATGTGTGTTTTGTTAGGTAAGCACCTACTATACGGTAGAGTATCTGGGAAAGCTCCTTTTTCTATTAGTTGAAGCACTGAAAAGGGTATTTTCCTATCCTTCCAGAAAATATGTAATTAATAAAACAGATTTAAGCCAGCACTATTTTTAATGACTGCAGGTGTGAGGAGAGTATAGCATATTCTGACTACTCCTCTGCATAGAAGGTAAGAAGAGATGTGCTGGGTTGCAAAGTGAGAGATCTGTGTTTTAGTCCTGACTATAGTACTAATTTTTTTAATGCTTGTTTATTTTTGAGACAGAGAGAGACAGGGGATGGGCAGAGGGAGAGGGAGACACAGAATCTGAAACAGAGTCCAGGCTCTGAGCTGTCAGCACGGATCCCAACATGGGGCTCAAACCCACGAACTGTGAGATCATGACCTGAGCTGAAGTTGGACGCTTAACCAACTGAGCCACCCAGGCGCCCCTCCTGGCTGATACTATTTAGCCCTATTCTTCCCAAGATGTTTGGGCCTCCAGCTCCTCAATAGAGAGGATGGAAGAGCTGAGATCCAAGGTACTTCACAACTTCATTTTTACAATTAAATGACATATACCACCACTAATAATAATGTACACAACCAAAACTTATAGTTTTGGCATTTGAAACAACCAGAGAACACTAAAAGCGAACACCACTCAGGTTCTTGTATTCCCTGTGCAATAAACCTTCCACATCATGGCAACAGTAGTATATCCAACTCAAAAACTTGAAACAGAAAGGAAAAAAATGCAAAACTTTGCTGGCTGGGGAGAAAAAAAACTTAAAAAAATTAATTTGAAACACATTTTTCTTACTTAAACATAGTACTCTTATTTATTGTGTTTCTTTTTAACTCCAGATATATAGAATGTCCTATATTATCTTCTCATTATAAATAAGAAATAGGAAAAATCTGGTTGTGGTGCTAATGTGATGAAGCGTGTGCTTACACAGGCACTTGGATACAGACCTAGTGCAGCAAAGCTATTTTTAACTTGAATTTTTTGGGTGTGTATTTTTTGCTGTCCATCTCCTTTCCCTACCTTCTTCCTTTCTTTTCCTCCTTCCTTCCTTCCTTCCTTCCTTCCTTCCTTCTTTCCTTCCTTCCTTCCTTCCTTCCTCCTCTCCTTCTCTCTCTCTTTCTTTCTTTCATGTCTGGGTATGTGCTGTTAAGTGCTATAGAGAACAAATTCTCAATGGTCCCAATGATCCCTGCTTTCTGTCATTTACAAGCTTATGTATTTCATCTCCCTGAATAATTTGCTAATCTAATCTACAGAATATGGCAGCATCGAGGGGATGTCATATCTGTGATTAGGCTATAAGAACTGTGACCTCCATCTCAGCAGACTTTCATTCTTCTTGGTTTTGATGAAACAAGTTGCCATGTTGGTGAGAACCACATGAAAAAGGACTGCGAGTGGCCTCTAGACAATAACTAGCAAGAAAATGAGGCCCTTAGTCTAACAACCCTTGAAAAACTGAATCCTGCCAGCAAGCACAGAAGCAAGAATGGAAGCTGAGCCTTCCCCAGTCTGGCCTTCAGATGAGACCACAGCCTTGGCTGGCATTATGACTGTAGCCTTATGAGAGACTGAGTAGCAGAGGTTTCAACTGATTGGTTAATTTGGAGGAAGGGTAGGGAATAATATTAGCTGAATGCTGTTTATACAGCATAAATAAATCCAATATATTATAATTTGAAAGTGTTGTTCAACAATGGCATAAGTCACTTTTCATAGCAAATGGAATGTCTCATGGTGTGTGTGGGAAAGCTCATAACGTCTCTGTTGGAGGCAAGGAGAACTGTAGTGTAGTTGGCTGCTAAGCTCCTTCTCTGTCACTTCGATTCTACTGTGGCTGAAGATAGCTGGCATTTCTAATGTTCTGCTTCTTAGTGTCATGCTGAGGCTTTGCAAGTCTGAGAGGTACTGGCCTAAACTTAAAATGAGCACCTCTCTGCTTGTGCCTGAAAATCCTAGAAGAAGATTGCTTTTTTAAAAAAAGTTTATTTATTTATATTGATAGAGAGTGAGAAAGTGCACATGCATGTGTGCAGGGCAGGAGCAGAGAGAGAGACAGAGGGGAGAGAGAGAATCCCAAACAGGCTCTGCACTGTCAGCATGGAACTGGAGTGAGGCTCGAACTCATGCACTGTGAGATCATGACCTGAGTGGAAATCAAGAGTCGGATGCTTAACTGATTGATCCACCCAAGACCCCCAGAAGCTTGTTTTACATCTCACTATAAAGACAACAAATGGCTATTTATACATTCTCAGGTCCTCTCTGATGAGCCACAAACAGTAATTTTGAACTAGTAATAATTCTTGCTCTTTCATGTTTTTTAAAAAAGCCTAAACCTAGAGACAGTGTAGTTCAATATCCATTTATGGTATCTCTGTAAAGAATACTGCACTTGACAAGACAGTCTACCTTTGGCCCTTACTAGATGACTTGAGTGTTCTAACTCAAGTGGTCCCACAATTTGAAGAAATGTTAGTATTAATACTGATCAGCACTCAAAATCTTGGCAATAGATTTGGTATTCATTTTTATTTTCTCTTTGGAGCCTTCATTTTGAAAATGTGGATTTTGACTTTCAACTCCATGTTTATTTTGGTTATAATTACCACGTTACATACATCATTTTCCATCTTATGTCATGTTGAATACTTTATATATATTGTCTCCTTTATTACTAACAATAATTCCAGAAGGTGGGCATTGTGTCCACTTAGAAATTGGTGAAAAACTGGAGTTTAGAGAAGTGAGTTGCACATGTTTATCCTGTGGTAGGAAGCAGAGGTGAGATTAAAATATAGGTGTGTGTGTGTGTGTGTGTGTGTGTGATTTTAGTCCTAAAGTCAGCACTAGCAAAAAATAGTAGCTTTCTTTGTTAGACAATTTTCTCTGGCTTCTCAAAAA